TACCTGCTTAAGACAGCTTGCAACCAGCCCACACCCAGTGTAGGCTCTAATCGCTTTGTAGGTCTCCTCCACATGGTACAACTATCAGAACAGTGAAGGAGAAATAGGAGAAGCCCCAAGGTCAGGCCTTCCTTAAGCTAGTCGGTCTGTGTAAATGCAGTGATAGAAATGCGATTTCTTAGGGCCCTGGACACTGGGCCCTACACTGTGGTGAAGAAGATGGGTAAACTCAAGAAGAGACCCAAGGTCAGCTGCCATCTCAATGGCCCTTCATCTCAATGCAACTTCAGTTGCGACTCAGATTCCATAAATTCAAAGAGGGAAAATCTACCTATCCCTAGATGAGAATGCCTAGGGATTCAAGGCCTTCCTGTGGGAAGGTAGGGTGTCAGGAACATGAGGCATCTCCATGGCCTGAAGCAGGGGAAATGCACGCTGATGCTCAGCTCACTTTCTCCTTTGGATTCGCCCTGCACTCTGCTGCCCACGTTCAGAGTGGGGCTTCCCTCTTCAGTTAAACTTTCTAGAAACACCCTCTAGACACACCCATTGCTGGGTTTCCATGGTGATTCTAAATATCATCAAGTTGGCAAGTTCCTGTCACCATTTTTCCCCCACAGGGAGGCGAGCCTTGCACCCTCAACTGAGAGCCAGTGTGCACCCTACATCAAGTTGCTTCTCAGCAGGCATTTGGCCACATCAACGAGAAAGGTAACCAAACAAGGGAATCAGTGTCCCCAACAAGTGCCAACCACATTTTCTTTTGTAAACAAAGCGCGTACAAGTCCATTTTACACAACTCACAGACGTTTCAACTCATATCTCTCACGGACATCATACACCCATGTCTCACACACACCACACACACGTCTCACACACACCACACACACACACCACACACATCTCACACACCACACACACACACCACACACACACACCACACACAAACACCACACACACACACACCACACACACACACCACACACACACACCACACACACACACTCACACACACGTCTCTCACACCACACACACGTCTCTCACACACACCACACACACCACACACACCACACACACGTCTCTCGCACACATACACACATACACCACACACACCACACACACGTCTCACACACACACCACACACACGTCTCACACACACCACACACACATCTCACACACACCACACACACATCTCACACACACCACACACACGTCTCACACACACCACACACACGTCTCTCACACCACACACACGTCTCTCACACACACCACACACACGTCTCACACACACCACACACACGTCTCTCACACACCACACACAAGTCTCTCACACACCACACACATCACACACACACCACACACACGTCTCTCACACCACACACACGTCTCTCACACACACACACACACCACACACACCACACACACGTCTCTCACACACACACACACACCACACACACCACACACACGTCTCACACACACACCACACACACGTCTCACACACACACCACACACACGTCTCACACACACCACACACACGTCTCTCTCTCACACACACACACACACCACACACACCACACACACGTCTCACACACACACCACACACACGTCTCACACACACCACACACACGTCTCACACACACCACACACACGTCTCACACACACCACACACGTCTCTCACATTCATTGCTCAACACAGACTGCAGCAGCTCTGAGCGTCGTGTTACCATATACGTCTCCCTTTTCCTTCTTTCCTTTATCTGTGGTTCTATAAATCCTTCGTTTCCTTCTTCCTTGGGGCATCTCAAGAACCAACCAAGGCACACATTCTCAGCAGATGCTGTGAGACACATCTCTTGCTCTGTGCTGAGTTTGAAGGTCATGGGAGTTCAGCACCTGAAGTGAGCTTGCTGCTCTGAACCAGGCAGTACACTTATGAGAATATTTGCCTTAGGAAACATGGACAGTTGGTTGAGTGCTGCCTCGGGTATGTTTTTCTTAACCTATGGAGGTTACTGTTTATTAGACCATTCTGGTCCGCTGCCCAGCAGAGTCACTGCAAATGGCTCCGCAGAAAAGCTCGCTTAGCGGACTGGTGGTGGCAGAATGCAAGCAAGTTTCCCTGAGTCTAGAAAGCCTTCAGACCTGCATGTTTCTCCCAGGGAAAGCAAACAACCTTCCAAAGTCAAGCTTGGGAAATGTGGCTAAATATACTAATTGAATACCCTTGGGGAGACTAAACCGGGATTACAGAGGAGGTGGGGTGAGAATACTGTCTTGCCTATAGAGAGAAGGGTAACCAGAAATGACGTAAATTTGGCCAAAAAAAAAAAAAGAATAATTGAATTCACTGGGGCCATTGCCTTCAAAGTAAAACAGAAAAGGGAGCTAAATCTACAGTGCTAAGGAGCATCTGTGGTCTCTCACCGACGGGGCAGGGTAAGCTTTTCAAAGACAGAGTGTCTGGAGCAGTGGTTCTCAACTTGTGGGTCGCGACCCCTTTGACAAACTTCTGTCTCCAAAAAAAAAAAAAAAAAAAAGTGAAAAATTACACTTGATCTATAACAGTAGCAAAACTGCAGTTATAAAGTCACAATCAAAATAACATTATGCCTGGGGGTCACCACCACATGAGGAACTGTATTAAAGGACCCCAGCCTTCGGAAGTTTAAGAACCGGTGGTCTGGTAGCTTCTATGAGCAGTCTACTCAGATTTGAAGATCTTTCTTCTAAGAGGCAGTAAGCTCACTTTATAGATAATAGGGCACACGAGCAAGGTGGGTTTTTGTCTTGACATCAGGAAGGTTTGTTTCTTCCTGGCAAACCATACACAGTATATCTTTATCACTTCGACCACTTATCAGTGCACAGTTAAAGGGCACTGAGTTTGGGTGGTGTGTGGCTCCCAGAGCCTTTACACCATCCACCAAAACCCTTAAACACATAAAACAGTAAGTTCCCCTTCTCCAAAGCCCTGGGAATCACAATTCTACCTTCTCTATGGTTTTGACTATTCTAGATCCCTTTTATAAGTGTGAAAATAGTGTTAAATTTAAAAAAAGAAAAAAGAAGAGAATAAAGCAGAAACACATTCAAGATGGACTCTCTCGAGCTGAAGTCCATGTCATTAAACAGAAACCAAGCTGTTGGTTATGACCTCTTGAAGAGTCAGTCAAACATCATGGGCATACAAAGCACTCCAGCCGTACACCCAACTTCCCAAAGTTGCCTTTTGACCTACACACAGACACTCACAAGCAAACAAACTCCCCCAAATAGGCCAGTTAGGTGGAATTCTTTCTAAATACAGAAAAGCTAACTTGAAGTAAGGCCAGGTTACTTCAGCCAAGCAGGTATCTCCCATTGATCTGCCTCTTGGAGCCAGTCTTACAAAGAACACAAACCAATCTCCATTTCTTTCTGCATTTTCAGCCTCACTCTGTCGACAAAACCAGCATCTCCTGCCTATTTTGTACACATATCCAGAAGCTGAATGTTAGACCACATAGCAATTCTAGGCTTAGTTACCTGAGGAACACTGGTCTGTCTTGCACGGCTACTGATCTCTTTTATACCCCTGCCCACAATAGTCAGGGGTTTGCTTCTTAGTACCCATGCCAACACTTCGTATATTCTGGCTTCATTCGTATATAAATAGTGACCATCATAATGGGTGTTAAAGAGGATCTTTAATGACTGGTTCTGTACCAGGGTGGGACCAGCAAGGGGTGGGGGCCACTGGGGTGCTGTAACAGAGACTAGACCAGCTGACAAGTTCAGGCACACAGATGCTGCTGGCTCTTCAAGCTTCTGACCCTGGGGTGAGTAGGGCCTCAGGTCCAGCACATTTCACACACCAAGTTAAATTCTTCCTGTAAAGTCATGTCGGCTTGCCAGGCTGTCGGCACAAAGGGCGGTAAAACCCGAGACAGTGATTCTGGCTCCTGCCTGGAGATATTCTAGGTAGACCAGATTCATGGACAAGGTAATGTCTGGTCCAACAGAGCTAGAAGAATATTAAGATCCTTTCCACCATGGTATTCTGCTATCTTTTTAATGGTTTTACAAAATGATCCCTGAGTTCCTTGACACTCCTCATATTGACAAGTGGGTTCTCTGTATCATCACCTTTTATCTGGAATCAGATGCTAACAGAATTGAGCAGAAGTTCACCGGTGCCAGTATCTGGGCTGTACATAGGGGGCAGTTTATATTTCTTTAGACATTTCTTCTTGGAAACTAGCCACCATGCTGTGAAGTTGCTAAAAATCCCTTGGGGGGGGGATGTAAGTCCTGTACCCGCTCCTCCTAATATCCCAAGAACAAACTGAGGTACGATTCCACCACAGTTACTGTAGGGAACCAATGAGTTGTTGGGCACCCATACAGGCACGACTCCTTCTCTGAGGAACCCAACTGTTAACTGGCATGCAATGGCCTTTGGCCCTCATCCCTCCTCCTATTCCCTCCTCCCACCCCCTCCCTCCGCCGACCCGCCCCCCACCCCCTCTGCCAACGTCTTGTCTTATCATAAGGTCTTGACACAGTCTTGTGATAAAGTCTTCTGGGTGGTCTCCCCATTATCATTTTAATTACTTGGGCATCACCATTTCTCTGCCCATACATTAGAACCTACCACAGACTCTCCAGCTTCCCCATGCCCTGAGCTAGGCGTTGTAGTTTTTCAGAGTTCACTTGATCCAAAGACATATCTTCCTCAAAGGTAAGCAAAGTTGACAGGGGGCAAAGGAGGCACGACCCTTGGGCCCTATTTTCCCCTGCAGATCAAACCCGCCTGTACTCACTGCCTGGTGCCTTTAGCTTCTTCCTAAAGCCAGGCACAACTCTTGAGGCCCTCTGAAAAGCTCTACTCCCTTTTCTACCCCATCCTAAGCCCACCCCCAGCTTTATCTCAGGAAGGAAATAGTTAAAGATTCCTGCCCTTAAGGGCCTGGCGGGGGCAGCAGCGTCGCAGTTTGGTGGCTGCTCCCTGGAGGGGAGGCGGGCTAGGACGCCCCTGCAGTTCGGTCCCAGAGTGGAGGGGACGGTCTGGAAGCCTGTGGAGCCTGGCGAGGACCGCGGGAGGCGTGTTCCTCTGGAGTTTGCTTTTGCTTGGGAGACACGCGCGCACACCCATTCCTCTGGCCTGGCGACCGTGCCGGGGAGGTGGAGAGCCACTCTAGTCCACCGAATCGTCGCCGGAGGTTGGGAGCGGGGCGAGATCTCCCTCAAAGGAGTCGGGCCCTGCCGGGAAAGTTTCCCCAAGTCGACGCAGTGCTGCAGCCCCGGTCACCCGCCATCCTACGCGCCACCCTTGTTCTCCCACTCCGGATCCGTCTGGCTCAGGCGCGGACCTGGCGCTGTTTGCGACCGTACAAGAAGATCCGAGGTCAGTTCTAGTCTTTCCTAATGGGAACCAGAACTGGGACAAGGGATAGGGTCGCAGCCTGGGGCTATCGACTGGGAGGAGTTGGGGTGTCGCGCAGCGCCGGCGAAACGCCGCACCCGGGGCTAGCTCCTACCTGCCCTGGCGTCCTGTGTGGGTCACCTTCCTGGGAATCTTGAGCGCTGCGGGGTGGGAGTGGAGTGATGAGCTTTAACCACAGATTAAAAGCATTTTACATCCCCAGGCAAGACTCTGATTTTTAGGAAAAGGAAGTTGGGCCAGGGGTGTCTCTTTCTCCACAGGCAGGAAAGAGCTTTCAGTACATCATGCTTAAAGCTTGCTCCAAAGTTTACTGGTGAAGTTGGTGGAGCAGCCTCTTCGCATCCCCCATCCAGGGTGTGAGTGGCCAAGGACACTTACTGTGAAGATCCGACAGCTGTGAACCCCTCCTCACACCACGACTGCAGCTAGTGTTGGGAATCTGGCTGTTGCTGGAGGCCTGGGCTGTTTGCTCTTACTCTCCTTTAAAGGGCACTTGTTGCCTTTCACGCGTGGAACACTAGCAGTCTGCAGATAAGCCACCTCTGTTTACACCGCCCTAATGGCCTCACCCCAGCAGACACGGGGTGAAGGCATATTAAAGTCAGACGGTGCCACCAGGAGCGGCAGAGAGCAAAACCACAGAGAACTTCAAAGAAAAGTTCTTAGTTTAATTTTTTTTCTCCCCTTGTAGTCGTTTATGGATACCTCCCCCCCCCACACACACACACACTAAACCATCTGTTTTTAAAGTGTTAGCCAACTGAAAATACCCTGGCAACAGTATCTTGCAAATTACCTGTTCTAAACATGTGCAGTTTGTGTGCCATGGGAATTTCCAAAGAGCTAACGGTGAATGAACTTTCGTCCGAGAGTCTGATATGTAGAACAGGTAAAGGGCTGTGTCCTTAGCCCCGTCCTTCAGGCTTGAATGGGGTTGCTTCTCCAGAGTTGTGTCTGACTACAACAGAAGATGCCCAACCAAGCTTGCCTCGAATGCACTAGAATGAGCTCCAGATCCATCCTTGGGAGAGCATGCACTTGAAAAAGGTTTCTTTCATTTGGTTTTGTGTTCTTTCACTCTGTGACAATATGGCAGCCACATGTCTTTGGCAGATGTCCCTTAGATGTGGAGAACTGACGGAGGTGTCAGGAGTTCTTTGGTAGTGTCTTTGTTGAGGGGAAGCCTGGAAGGAAGAAGTTTTGATGGTAGCTGGCTCACACCATGACAAGAAGCCGTGGCTTTGGCGTTCTCAGCACCCGTAGCTGATGGGGGAAACCAGCAACTCATGTGGGTACCAGTGAGGTGCTTTATGAAGGGTACAGGGCCAGTGACAACCAAGTGGCTCATGAAGTCCCTCCTAGATAATCTTAATATAGCTCATGAAGCTCTTCTGTTTGTGGAAAAGGCCTTTGCCACTCAGTTGTGGGAAAACTACTACTAATTACATCCCCGTTGGGAAACTAGGATCTTTTAATCAAAAAGCAGTCAAGAAATTAAAGAATTGTGTCGTCCCTCATTATTCAAAGAGACAGATTTTAGCTAACTCTGTGCTTGGGGTTCTGGCCTCCATCTGGGAAGGGTAATGAAGATACCCGATACTAATGAGTCGGCCAGAGACTGTTCTGTAGGAGCCAGGAGAGGAAATCTGTAAATTACTTATAATTCAGGGTGAGCAGAAGTGACACAGCGACAGGATGGTGGCAGGTTCCTCACTTTGAAATCATAGCAGCAAGTGGAACCCAACCACTCAGTTATGAGATGGAATGGCTAGCCTGCCACTGTCTCCCCATGACCCATTTCTCTCAAGTGAAGTGCAGATGTTGCTTCTACCTGCTCTACTGGAAATGCTCAAGCCAAGAAACAGATGGCGTCTGTCAGGTGCGATGTGTAAAACGCCGTTGTTGTTTCCAGAAGCCGAAGTACATGGCGCTCGGCTGGCCTCGGCTCTCGGCTAACCCTGTACCTCCTGTGCCAGTCAATATGTCTTGCTTTGTCTACATAGGGACTAAGACTCAACTTAGTGATGCCCCACGACAGCTACCAAAATTCATAAAAGTGGTCAGTCACCGTCTTGAGCAGAGTCCAGGAAAAGAATGTGAGTCTTAAAATTTAGGATTAGTTGTGTGCCTTCAGTACACACCACTGCCCGTAAAGGAAGCTATGGTCTTCATGTTCAGATTCGTAAAAGAAAGACACAGAACACTGAAAGGGAAGGAGCTATTTGCCTTTGATTGCTAGCTTCTCTCCTCCAGCCATCCTCGGGTTTTTAGTGTCTTTTCTTTAGTGCTAGAGGAGAAACCTAGATTACTGGGCAACAGGGACCATGTGCCCTTTGCAGGTGACAGAACAAATGAATGCCAAGTAGTCTTTTGATAACATCTGGCCTCCCTCCCTAAACTGCTGCCTCATCTAAACTCTGGAGACATTGTCAGTATGATGTAGACATAAATAAAGCATGAACAAGAGACAGGATGGCCTTGTGGGTAAAGCTCAGGTTTGGAGTCAGATGGACTCACAAGGGGAGAAATGACTGAGGAAAAGATTTAGTTTGAAACCCTTGAGTTGTGGATTTGCCACCATCTGTGGCCTCTGTGAGCTCCTGGGCTTTCTTTTCCGCCTCCCTGCCCTCCCGTGTATGACTTCATGAACTAGGTAGACAGCAGCAGCACGTGACATCTTCGCAAACCTACCTAGGTAGGATGCTTGCAGGATCGTATAAAGCTCGCTAGCCCTTGGCAAACCAAACAGTGTACCATCCTGGGGAAGCCTGTCACTCACATGGTGCCCACTGACAGGTAATGTGGTGGTTGCTGAGGCATGGAAAGGGGAAGGTGCTAAAAAGATGTGGATTTTTGCACATTAATGGTCAAGGATTTCAAACTAAATCTTTTCATCAGTCACTTTTTCCTCCTTTTTGAGCTGCTGGAAATGGGCAGGTGTGAGCGTGCACAGCGAGTGTTCTCCTGCAGCCCTGAGTTATCCACGGTTCCTTAAAACTTGAATTGTTAGATGTACTCATGGCGCTACACAGACATCTGGCTTTAACACAGCAAGTGTTCTCCTGCAGCCCCAGGTTATCCCACAGTTCCTTAAAACTTGAATTGTTATATGTACTCATGGCGCTACGCAGACGTCTGGCTTTAACTTGATGCTTCAATGCTCTAGACTACACCATTGTCCCACTCGTTCCTGCCATGTGCAAAACAACACTCACTGGGGGAGCCTAAAATTTAAGTCACAGAATTAGATTCTTGTCTTTTGTGCCTCAATATGAAGCAACTTTTCCTCTTTTACCAAAAATGTTTCTGTCTCACTTTTGTAATATTCAGGTTCTTCTTAGACCAAATGAAGAGAAAAACCTGCTGTTATTGAGGGAAACAGAAATATCTTTACTATTCAGGTTCTTCTTAGACCAAATGAAGAGAAAAACCTGCTGTTATTGAGGGAAACAGAAATATCTTTACTTGTATTATGGTCTAGATATAGAAAGAGCTGTAGCTAGAGCCCAGACGGAGGATGAGCGGGGGTCATTTCTTGCTGTAATAGATTTTTGGTCTTTTCTATTGTGGTCTTCCATGGGTAGACTGAAGTAGTTATATCATATCCAATTACCAAATATGGGTTATATTTTCATTAAATTAGTCATTGCCTTTGGGGGCTGATAGATTTTGTAGCAAATAATAATAAGAATTTTTCCTGCTCTTTTTTCTTCCAGGTGAAAGAAAGGTGTAAAAACAACTTAAGACTTTTCTTCAAATCCACACTAAGATGGATACTTTTTGCCTCACGACATCCCTTTGGCTCGTCCTGGTGGGAGGAGTAATCAGTGACACTCCCGAGAGACACAGCACGAATCTAAGCAGTCAAGCGGGGGACTTCACCCCTTTTCCGGGGACAGAGCTCAGCTTTCTGGGAACCACTCATCGACCTACGAATTTGGCCCTGCCCAGCAATGGCTCAGTGCGTAGCTATTGCCCACATCAGACTAAAATCACAACAGCTTTCAAATACATTAACACTGTGATATCCTGCACCATCTTCATCGTGGGAATGGTGGGGAACGCAACCCTGCTTAGGATCATTTACCAGAATAAGTGCATGAGGAATGGCCCCAATGCACTCATAGCCAGCCTGGCCCTGGGGGACCTGATCTACGTCGTCATTGATCTCCCCATCAATGTGTTTAAGGTAGGGAACTCCCGTGGACTTTGCTGAGCTCTGATGCCTGCTCTGTTCTGACTGGGAGACTTATTTCTGCTGTCTTATAGTTCATTGACGGTTTAAGATTGTTACTGTTATATATTAGACTATTTTCTAACTTAGCTGTTGACAAAACAGTATTTCAAGAATGACCTTTGAGATGTGTCTATGGCATGAAGTGGGTTCCCACGCCAGTGCTCAGTTTGCTGGCTCCATAGGAGGTCGTGGAGCAGTCAATGACTGGAAGATTTTTGAGTTTTTAGGGCGAGATGTACCAAGCTCCCAAAGAACATAAAGTTAAATATATAGTCAGTCTTGGTTATCTTTCGATGGGATGCTGTTCAGAATAGATAACCACAGCAGAGCTTCAAGTGGAACGCTTCTATTTTAGTCTGAGGGCCTGGGTGGATGGTTGAAGGTGAAGGACTTGCTGGCTTCCCTCAGTATCTGGTGACTTGGAGATAATGAAACCCATCCATAGAAGGCCAGGACAGATTTACTAACTAAAACCATTCACAGAGGACTGTTTGCTCCTTCCCTTTTCCAGCTGTACCATGTGCCCTCCTCTGAGCTAGGCAACAGGGGTCCGAAGATAACAAGATAAGTTGCTGCTTCAGTGGGGGAAGATAAGTGTCTAAACATTGCGGTGATTGCCCTGCCTTAGAGACAATTTAAGCAAAATAAACTAAAACCGAAAGAAGCAGGATATTTCATATTTGCTGCAGTCTTTGTGAGAAGAAAATACTAAAAAAAAAAATTTAGTAAAAGTCAAAGGAAATTGGCATATGTGTGCTGCGTGTTCAGAGATGCCTCACCCTAAACCCAAGGAAATTGCTTTCCCTAGACTTTCTCTCTACCCTCTCCTTCCCCTCCCCATTCCCCTTTCTCCTTCTCCTTCCCTTTTCCCATCTCCCTTCTCCCCCTTCTCCTCTTTCTCGCCTTCCCTTCCCCATCTCCTCTAATGTGAAGTCAGCCTCCTCCCCATCTTCTTTTCCTCTCTCTGCTTCCTCTTATTTCTTTTCCTCCTACTCTTCCTTTTCCTCCTCTTCTGCCACAGAAATAAATTAGTCTAGGTCAGTGGTTTTCAACCTGTGGGCCGTGACCCCTTTGGGGGTTGCATATCAGGTATCCTGCATATCAGATATTTATACTATGATTCACAACAGTAGCAAAATTACAGTTATGAAGTTGCAAAAATGTAATTTCATGGCTGGGGAAGTCACCACAACATGAGGAACTGTATTAAAGGGTCACACATTATGAAGGTTAAGAACCGCTGTTTTAAGTGATACAATTCTGAAATGTTACTTTAAACTGCTTTGTCAGTTGAATTATGAGTATCAGGGTAGCCTGGGGTTTCCTCCCCGTTTCTGGTAGATGTGCTAATCCAGTGAAAACTCATGACAACATCACAAGCACCAGTGTTCAAGGACGAAAGATGGAAGAACTGGTTTGTTGTTGTTTTCTTCTTTAGTAGGCTTTCTCTGTTTAGTCTGGGCTGTCCTGGAGCTCCCTATGGAGTCCAGGCTGGCCTTGAACTCACTGAGATCCTCCTGACTCTGCTTCCTGTGTGCTGGGATTAAAGGCATGCGCCACCACAGACAGCTGATATTTTTTTAAATGTTAAAGATTTTTCAAAATTGTACCATGTACTTTTTGAAAAAGTAGAGAAATTAAGACAATAAATAATCAAAAAATTACATACTCTTTCTTTGCTCAAAATAAGTTTGAATGCATGTGATTTCAGTTTGAACACAAAAACCGAATTTTGAAACTAAACTATGAAGCAAGGTTGAAAATACATAATTAGTTTAAATGTTCAGTACATGCTTCAAAATTTACTTTTTTATCTTAAAGAGTTTTTAATTTTCCATCTATGAGTTGTCAAGAGTACTTCTAGTGATAATCTCCAATGACAGATTTTACAAGTTTGTCATGACTTTTGGTCAAAATTTGACTCTTTAGTCTGAGTTGATTATTGGTGAGTATTATTATGAATTCTTGATTATTTGTGTGTAGACACTGGCTACCTAGCTCATTCGTCTTTGTTCAAGAGAATGATTAACGTCTCTGAACTTACTCCCTGTTTCTGTTCTGTCTGAGGCATGCCCTGTGCAACTCTTTGCAAAGCAGTCTTTTGGCAAACCAATAGGGGAAGCTGCAGGGGAGCGGGCGGGGGGGAAGCAGGGGGGGGCTGCTTGTCTTGAGCTACTCCTGCCAATCAGCACCTTAAACTTCATTTCCACAGGACGGTGGGTCACATTAGCTCAGAGTGTTTTGACTATTGTAGAAATCTAAATACAATCTACGTTGCGTTCACGTAGCAATTAGATGGACAGACACATCCATGTCCGACTCTGTGGTTCTTCACTTTGGGGACTTTCATGATTGATGCACCTTCTTATAATTTGAAGTAATGTGGACAGTCTGGTCATGGTGCTTTCATATCACATGACTGTAGCTGTTTGATTCCTGGTTGTTAAATGCAATATGAATCAGTGGACCAATATGAGTTTCAGAAGTTAAATCTTTTAAAATATTTAAACATTAAGTATTTAAATAATTACGCCAGTCCTCTTTTGAGGAAAGGAAACAGCACTGCCGTGAGCTTAAGGGACCCAGCAATGACGTTCTCTCCACGCTGTTCTGTCCTACTCTTCCCCAGGTCAGAAGCGCATGACCTCTTCCCAGGCTAGTGAGGAGACATCCTTCCGGGTGGTGGGGTCAGGCCCTGTTCCTCTCTCCCTCGCTGCCTCCTGCCAGTTCACCCCAAGGCATTCGGTTATCGCCTTTCTCAGACGTGGATCCTCTAGCCACATCTGGTTCACAATGTCAGCTCCTGCCCATCTCACTTCATCACTGTATTTAGGTGCCCAGAAAGTAACGTAGAGATTTCTCTAAAAGCATGGATGCATGAACTCTTTTCATCTCCCTCGTTATTGGAAGAATTATGTTGAAAGTAGATGGGCTGGCCAATCTTCTAGACTCTCTAAGTAGTTGAGTTTCAGGGCCGGGGATGTGGTCTAGTGGATCAAGTATGAGGACCCATGTTCAAATCCCAGCACCTGAGTGAAGATCCAGGCATGGCAAGCACACGTCTGTAACCACAGCGCTGCGTGGTGGACACAGGTGGATCCTGGCCACTTGATGGGCAGCCGGTCGAGCAAAAAGAGCAAAGTCCAGGGAAAGCTTCCTGTCTCAAAAAGCCTTTGACCTCCACATCGCACACTTGCACACACACACACACACACACACACACACACACACAAGATGAGTTTTCCATCGCTCTTATTCTGTTTAGCAGTCACAGAGGATATTTTTTTTAAACTCGCCGTCCATTTTTCATTAAACAAAGAATTTTTTTAAGTTGTAGGAATCTTTAAAAATACTGTTACATAAAAATGGGTCTTCTTAGAACTTCTGTTTCACTACACATATTTAAAGTAGAAGCCACACATACGTGGGGTGATCAATGCATGTCTTCATTCAGGAAGCACAGGCTCAAAACCATTTACCCCAAAGTCCGCTTCACCTGACATAATGTACAGGCAAGCCCAGCTGCCTCAGTCGCTCTGCACACCCGAGGGTGAAAGCAGCTGTACAGGCCTAAAGAGAGGGAGGCACCTGGTGTCAATGCCCCTCTGATCCAAACATTGTATTGTTGTAGCCGTATGACTTTCCACCCAGCATTCCCCATGTGATGGACCAGAAACTGTTTCTTTGGCAGACAGCTAATATAGCTGGGATCACAGTCGTCCTCGGCCATCGACACTTATTGCTTGACATGCGGCTTTAGCTCCTTAGGCTGGAAAGGTGGGCCAATGGTCATAGCACTGACTGCTCTCTCAGAGGACCTGGCCTTGTACCCAGCACTCACTCTGCAGTTCACAAGCACCTGTAGCTCCAGTTCCAGTTCCAGAAATCCAGCTTTCTGGTCTCTGCAGGTTCCTGCATGTACATAAATTCATGCACACACACGCACACACACACACAATAATAAATAAATAAATCTTTTTTTTTCAAAAAAATATTCTTGTTGTGAAAAAAGCCCACTTCCATTAATGGCACTTAACTACTGTTTGGTCTCACTTGTACATGAGAATAGATGGGTTAGAAATAGGCTAGTTACCTTCAGTTGAGTCTTACTCAAATGGGGGGTCATAAGTTTTCTGTGACGAATTCACCTGTGACATAGGCCCTCTAAAAATTTCATCTCAACATGTGATCTGAAACTCTGTTCTGCCTCAGTTACTGCAACCACGCCACTTACATACTCAGCCTAAGGTGTCTTGGGTAAGAGTCCATTTGCAGAAGCGGGCTATGTGCAGACGGCACCTTAGGGCAGCTACGTCAGCGGCAGCTCAGCCACATGCAGCAATGTCCAGAAGAAAGAGAGACTACCATGGCTGGCATTCTGCCTATCAACGTTGTGTCTCTTTTCTCTCATTTAGGAAGGGATTGTATAGGAGTCCCATAGAACGGCTCATGGGAAGCAAGTGTCACACATAGCTGAGCTGTTTCCCATGCATCATTAGCCATGTAGCGGGGCCTTGGTGACTTTCCATGGTCTCTAGGCATGTGTACCAGTGAGCTCGACCCCAAATAGTTGCTGTCAAGGCATTTAAAGACCTTAAATCAAAAACTAGGTTAGCTCTGGAGTGTATATGTGGCATTAGGAAGAAATGAATCAAAAAAGGAAGAGAATGGCTCCAGACTTTGCTTACACGCACACCCTCACACGGGTGACAAGAGAAAATCACACAATCTAACAAAACAGAATGCACAGCAGATGGGCCACAGAGCACAGATGAGTGCCAGTTGCTTCTGGGGTCTCGGACACCAAAGCCTTGCAAGTGGTGGTGCTGAGGGACAGCTGTGACAAACTTGATCAAGGACAACTCTAATTTTTAGTTGCTCAAAAGGCAGATAATATCATAATTGCAAAAGAAGACTAATAAAAAGGGGGAGGGAAAAAAGAGCTTGCATGA